CGTCTTTGGTGGTCAAAAATTATACGCGTTATACGACTCAAGAAAAATAAATAGAAATATTAAATAAGAACAAAAATAATAATATTATTAAGGATAATGATAAATAAAATAGTATAACAAGAAAAAAACTACTGATGAAATAAGTTATTAAGAAAGAAATATAATTTTAATTTATCAAAGGAAAGTTTTTGAAAAAAAAAACGCGAACAAAAATGTTTAAGAAAAAAAAAAGAAAAAAGGAAGAGTTGGGAAAAGGATATGAATGACATGACATGTTAATGGGCTTTATTTATAACTGATGAAAAAATTTTTGTTTACGGAATAAACAATAATTATTGGTCACACGAAATTTTTTTGCAGATAATCACAGATTATCACCTTTCTAGTCGAATATCAGAAAAAATACCGCACAAATATTTCGATCGTGATTCCTCTGAATGGGATTCCTAAACGAATGTGGATTGGAAACTCTCGAACAGAAATTGGGGTATTATATTACGTGCCTTGAGACCATAGCTAATAACGAAGAAAGATACAGGCACGAAAAAGCGCAGATACTGATCGACAGATACAAAAAGACAAGTGTTACTTTTTGTTGGAAAATGGGTGGCAAAGGCCCTTTGAGACTCTTGTCACTTGGCGGTGTCAGGGTGCAAACGACTCTTCGAGATTGTTTAACGTTCAAGTCTTTCAAGCTGCAAGTGACCCTTCGAGATCACTTGACATTCAAGGCTTTCAAGCTGACCTGACAGCCGGATGGGGATTTATGTATGTTAAAATAATGTTTATATAAGAAAATATTCCATGCCAGGATTCTAAACCCGACCGTCAAATTGGAAAAAAGTGGGAGGCAGAACGTATTAATAAATAAGTTCACCTCCACAATCCGACATTCGTGGGCCAAGGTATTGGGACTATAGGTGGCGGAACTATAAATAGGCTCATTGTTAAATATTTAAAAAGAGAGGTTCCGATTTCCGATAATCAAGTACGTATTTTTTAGCCTTAACTATTATTTTGCATTTATTCCTAATAAAATTACAATCTTAATCTTTAGGATGATGGCAAAGTCCCTACGCGGATGAGAATTGATGATTATTTCCTTGTTCATGGTGCCCCTTTGCATGATCAACAACCAAGAACTCCCGAACATCAAATATATCCATCAGGTATTAGGTCCCCTTGGATCCAAAAGGTAATTATGTTTGCGCTATTAGACTCCAAACAAACGGAACTATCATATAGAGAAAATTTTGTCAACCCTATTATTGCGAAATTGTTCGATAATGTAATGAATATTATTCGAGTGAAAACGTGAGTTTGGCATTTTTTATCAAGAAAGTTTATTATTTATTAGAATTTTTTGATATTTACAAAAATTCAAGATGGTGATGTAATATTAACATATGCTAGATTAGATATAATCTGTAGAAAATCATTTCATGTATTATTTTATTTTCAAAAGGCAAAAGAAAAAAAATAATTCACTTTAATATTTCCTTTGGAATACTATAGATCATCAATTGTACAAGCATTATTGTTAGATGTACACGCCAAAGGCAGAAAATTTAATGTCATTATTGTTGATTCGTGACCAAGACTCGAGGGTAACTTAAATACTGAATGAATTTGAAATATTTAAGTTATCACAACTAAACAGTTAAAGCGTGTTTTAATTGGTAAAAAACTTTTGAAACGTTTGATGGATGAAAGTATAAAATGTACATATACATTTCTTCATGCACTTGGATTGCACTGAAAGATGTTTCAAAAGTTTTTTTGGGAGCTCACTCATTTATGTCTAATGGAGCACTTTATTCTCAAGTTGGCACTGCAATGGTGGCAATGATGGCAAAAGAGAAGAATATTCCGGTCATTGTTTGTTGAGAACCATAAAAATTCACGGATAAGGTTCAATTAGATTCATTTATAATGAATGAACAAGGTAACTGGTAATTTTATGGATGATAGAACTATTTTAAAAACAATAATTTAATAATATCAATAATTCAATATTTAATTTTAATAATGATTTTCTCGTCAGGAAATCCTGATGAATTAGTTAATATATCTACAACTATGACCTAAAACCTGGATATTTGGACGAATGGTTAAACAAACCAGATTTAAAACTTTTAAACTTGTTACAGTAACCAATAATGTTTAATTAATTATAAATAATCGGTAACACAATATAAGGGAGGGAAATTTCTTTCTGGTTAAGTAAATTAATAATAATAATTATTATTATTATTACAAATATATTTATATCACAATAACTAATGAAAAAACTTTCATAATGATAATAATAAAATATATATATAATAATACAGGGAACAATTTATCTTTAATACATCTTAAGTGATTAAAATACTAGTTTTCGAATATTTTAATTTTTAAACGCGGGTTTAACCCTACCCGGGATTCGGATCGGGTTCCCGACCCCTTAGGAGCAATACTCCTTTATATTTTTTTCATTTATATTTATTTTCATTTATATTCATCTTTACAATTATAAGATATTATTTCAATTTGACGCTTAATCAAAAGCATCCTCCAAATAGACATTATCATAGTTTTATTATTAAATAATATTTTATTACTTTTACAAGTTTTCTTGGAGTTATTTGCAAAATAAAACCTTTTCAAGTTCATTTTTAATGTTCTAAGAACAAACTGAAAAGCTAATTAGAAGAAATCAAAATAATCTGTATATATAGACAATTTATTATAAGTGACATCATTATTTGATCCAATCAATGGATTTTAAAATTATTAAAGGATATAAATTGACAAAATTCGCAAATAAAAAAATTTTGGTTGATTGTTCAGGATAAAAATTTCCCTTTTTGTTTATATTTGTTTACAAATGAATGATGTAAGCATTTTTTTTTTTATCTGTATTAGTCCGTGGTTAAACCGCAGTGTTTGAAAAGCCTCATTGTTGGTTTTCTACATCGGTTTCCCTCTGTTCACAGCAAGAAAATAATGTGCCCCTCCCCATTATGAACAGTGAGGAATTGTCGTTCACGTCACCACCACCAGTTAACAGTAACCCTTCTTCTTCCACAGCAAAGACGTCGTCCACCACGGCACAACACTTGAGATCTTCTCAAACGAGCTTAACTACAATCGTAAAAGCTCAAATTTCCTTTCTACTGTCTACTCTTTCCGTTGACAATTACGTTCGTAACGTTGCAGAGATTAATTCCGTAAGTTTCTAAAATAGTCTTCTTAGATTTGCTTATTTCTATTTATTTTTTATTTTTTGGGGAATTGAAGTTTTTTTTTATGGATCAGAGTTTCAACTTTTTAAAATATAATTTGCTATGTGCGAAATAAAATTTACAAATACAATTAAATAAAATACTTAATATTTTTTAATTATTATTTTTACAGCTTTTAAACCAGCACGGTCAGGATACACATTTTCATTTATTGAGACGACTTTTGATTGACAATCAAACAAAAATTTGCAACATTCGTTCTCGTAATTCAGACCTTTCTCTAAGTTATCGTCTTTTAATCGAGAAAGTTAAAGAGGCAGCTAGCGATCCAGAATTATCTTCAGTTTTTTGTGAAGCTTTCAATTCTATAGATCATAGCGATTCCTTTAAAGATCTTGTCCTTGACAGCTTTTTAGAGCACGTTGGAATTAATCCTATAGAAAAAGTTGGTCTTTGTATTTCTTTATTACCCGCTAGTAAAAAGGAAATCGCCGAACAAGGTAAATAATAATTTTTAAATGAATTTTCATTTATTAAGTTTGGTATTTAAATAATGATAATTTTTGGATAATTTTTTTTTTTGTGGATAATTATTAGCACGTGAAATTATCAGTCAGAATTTTGATCCTCTTGTGAGGGCTTTAGAAGATCAGACAATTCAATCTGGTTTATCCGATAAACTTCTTCATCACTTACTTCTTTATTTTAAAACATACGAGGCCGAAAGTCGTAATATTTCATCCCAACAAAACGAGGAAATTCAATCTGTACCAATTGGTCTACTTCCACTTTTAAATTCTAATCATACAATAAGTTCTTTGTAAGTATTATTCATTCTTTGAATTTTATAATTAGTAAAACTATTAGAATTATTAGAACTAGCAGAAAATTAGTGATATTAATTAAGATTTGTTAAAATTTGACAAAAAATTTTTTTATTTCAGAAAAATGGTTGAACCCTCTCTCTCTCCAAATGGATCATCTAAAACTTCTTTGGTTAAACTTATGCGTGATGCAGGTTATAAATGTTGCAATACTGAAATCGCATTTACTGATATTCTTAATCAATTGGGTGTAAAACCACTTTCTTCAGGAGAAATTGTAGAAATTATTAAAGAAGAGGATGTTGCTCAAGCCATTGGAATGATGGTTCAGACGCATTCCCACTTTGGAGGTGACATCACATGGAATCAATCTTCTAATCCTGAAGATATTCAAACCTGGGATGTAGAAATATTCGCAACAAATTTAGCAGATTCTGTTTGTATTCTAAATAATTTTAATAATAATTTTTATTTTTCCAGTTATATGTAAATTCTTTTAATATTTAATAATAATATTTAATAATAATTAATTGTTATTTTTAGCAACCGCATTTGGATTGGGTTAAAGTAATAAAAAGTCTTGATTATTCAGAGTTTGTGGTTAATGATATTAAAGGAGTAGAAATAATATTAAATATTTATAGATTTGCATCAAAGGTATCTTGCATAGATAATGAAGACAAGCTTTGTTTAAATCATATAATTAACCTATCATCTTTCAGAGACTAATATTTAAATTATACATTATTTTCAGGCACAAGAAAATTTTCCCTTAAATGCGTTTTGGGGTCGATGGAACAATATTAATGGGCAATTTAGTTTCTTGCGCCGTCTCGTACAAGCACCATTAGAAGTGTTTAATATAAATGATTATCCTGTTAAAAAAGTTTTATCATTAGAGGACTTTGCTACAGCAAGTGCTAATCTTAAATCTGTAGCCGGAGTGCTCACATCTCATCCATGGAATTCTTTGGAGTTGGTCGAAACATTAATCAAATTGGCGGATTCAGAATTATTCGAAGAAATTAGATCATTATTTGAAAAAGCAACAAAACAAACACCAGAAATTGTGTGTCTAGGACTCGCTCAAGTTCAAGTAAATAGTAATATTACATTCATTTTATACACAATATATATATATACACGAGTTTTTTTTTTTTTAAAAAAAAAATTATAAAATTTGTAGAAACCATGGAACACATTGCATCAAGAGCTTTTAAATCGGTTGATTTCAATGTTTTTGGCCGGACATTCAAGTTCAACTCCAGTTTTAACAAGGATGTGGCAGGTCAATAGCAATTCATTTATCGAAGGTTGCCTTGAAATGTATAATAAAGATAACATGACAATATCGAGAATACTTGATATTGCACAAGACTTGAAAGTATATATTATATGATTTTTGTTTTTTATTCAATGTTTGATGTTCTATTTGTTAATAATATTTAAACTAATAATTACTTTGTTTTTTTTTTCTTAAATGGAGATTTTAAATCCACTTTTAGAATTATCTGAATCATCTCAATCATCTCATTCATTCTCATTCTCAATTGATTTGGCATCTCTCGCTTCTCGGAGAGAATATCTTAATTTAGAAAAATATCTACAAGATAACATTATTGAATATGGTGACTCATTTATCCATGAATGTATGGAATTCCTTAGTAAAAAATTGGCTTTGGAAGTGGCACGTGAAAATAATAATGGGACTCAATCTGTCAAATTGTCTGTTGACGTAGTAGCCATATTTATACGGATACTTCCTAAAAGGTAACTTGAGATTTTTATTTAGTTGTTTTTTTTTTTTTAATTATTATTTTATTTTAACAATAACTAATTATTCTTATTACTATTATTATCATTATTTAATTATTATTAATTATTATTATTTTAGGTCAATGTCTCCAGAAAATGCCGAACGTTTAAAAGAAGTTCATAGTACTGCTTTGCAAATTTTTCCCCATCTCATGAATTTTGGAACATCCGCAGAGGGTGAAGTTACCAAGCCGGAAACATCATTTACAGCTGATGTTGAAGAAGAAGCAAATTCATATTATGAGAGAGTTTACCGTCAGGAAATTACTATAGATGATGTAATTAAGCTTCTTCAGAAGTTTAAAAATTCTTCAGATCGTCGAGAAAATAACATTTTCTCATGTATGGTGCACAATTTATTTGATGAATACCAATTTTTCTCAAAGTATCCACAAAGGGAACTTACCATAACAAGTGTAATATTTGGTTCCCTCATTCAGTATCAACTAGTAGAATATTATGCTCTTGGTATTGCCTTACGTTACGTATTGAATTCACTTAGAAATCCTGCTGATTCAAAAATGTTCACCTTTGGAGCTCAAGCTTTGCGTCAATTTCAATCTCGTCTTCCGGAATGGCCACAATATTGTTCACATCTTTTGCAAATTCCTCAACTTCAACAAGCTTATCCAGATATTATTATGACAGTTAGAAATTCTCTTGCGGCTAATTCTAATTCATCTACAACACCACCAGCTGGTACTTCAAATGTAACCAATACAAATAATAATAATAGTAGTAATAACAGCGACAACAACAACAACAACAACAACAACAACAACAACAACAATAATAATAATAATAATAATAATGATGATAGTAGTAGTAATAATAATAATCTTACCAGTAATGGAAATGGTAATGCTTCATCATCATCCAATAATAACACAAACATTGAGGCTATAAATTATACGAAACCAGTTCCTGAACCTTTGAATAAAGTTATTGATAGACCTGCATTTACAGCATTAAATCTAGATACCTTATTGGCTGCAGATAAAGTTGACTATGAGATTCCAAGTGAAGCAGTTCAAGACAAAATTCTTTTCATAATTAATAATGTTGCTCAAAGTAATTTAGAAACTAAAGTTTCCGAGATGAAGGAACTTTTAAAGGAATCACATTATCGTTGGTTTGCTAATTATCTTGTTGTAAAAAGGTCCAGCATTGAACCCAATTATCATCAATTATATTTACAATTTCTCGATTCACTTGAAAGTCCATTACTAAATAAGCATGTGTTACGTGAAACATTTGCCAACATTAAGATCTTATTAAATTCTCAGAAAACTATAGAGTCTGCATCTGAAAGATCTTTATTAAAAAATCTTGGATCTTGGCTTGGAGGCATGACACTGGCTCGTAATAAACCCATTAAACACAAAAATATTGCATTTAAGGTTTGTAATGTTAAAATGTGCATGATTGAAAGTTGAAAATTTAAAATTAAATGATAACTAAATAATATTAATAATATTTATTATTATTAATAGGAACTTTTGATTGAAGGATATGACAGTAATCGATTATTAGTGGCCATTCCTTTCGTATGTAAAGTGTTAGAACAAGCATCCAAGAGTAAAGTTTTTAAACCTCCAAATCCTTGGTTGATGGCTATAATTAAATTGTTAGCAGAACTTTATCAATTTGCGGATCTAAAATTGAATCTCAAGTTTGAGGTCGAAGTTTTATGTAAGAGTTTAGATATTGACCTCAAAGAAATTGAGGCAACGACTATGCTAAAGGATCGACCTCCGAAGGAAACAACCACTACTCAAAGTACTAGATTCATTCATGAATTTGAGAAATGGTCCACTGGTAATGATTACGGTACTTCTTCGAAACCAGTACCCGTAACATCTCAAATGACATCTATTCCAAACACACCAACTAGTCATATGCCTAACATATCATTACCTGTGAACGGTAAGCCTTTTTTTAACTTATAACAAAATTTAATTTTTTTTATATAATTTAATTTTTATACAATTTAATTTACTAATTTTTAATTTTTTTATTTTAATTTTATTTAATTTAATTTTTTTATTTTAATTTTATTTAATTTAATTTTTTTATTTTAATTTTATTTAATTTAATTTTTTTATTTTAA